CTTTCGGCCAACAACCTAAATGGTTGTCTTTAGGACAACCCAAGGCCAATATTGCCAACAATAGTCCTTGTGACAAGTAGTCACTCTGTTTGACGAAAATTGTAACGAAATTTTTGGTAAAGATTTCTTGACTTCAGTCATGAAAGTTCGTTACTTCTCGGTTATCATAGCAAAAGAATTTACATTCTTGCAGTTCTGGAATACAGCAAATAATTCAAAGTATATACAGTATGGTACATATTACTTTACACACTTCAAAAAATTATGTTTTTCAATTTGTTTCATAAAGTTAAAAATTTTTTACATAACATTTTCTGGGATTTTCTGCATTATTCTAAAATTTAAACTTATTTAAATTAAACAGGGAATTACAACAAAAACTTCTAGAATTTTTAGGTATCTCATAAAACATTACTCAAATCACATTTTTTATTTATATAACCATAAATTTTTATTACTCTCATTAATAGTTTTAGAATAATATTTATCATAACCTGTCCTTTTATAGGTAAAAATATTTTACTGTGTTGGAGTTGTCCATAAAATTGCGCAACCTTGGGGAAAAATATACATCGCAATGTACAAATAAGTGGGTCTACAATGTCATTTATAAAAGAAATAGGAAACATATACCCAAAATATGTAATCATAAAGTTACTAACACGGTTTTAAGAACCAAATCCTAAAAATATTAACTGAAATGCATTCTAGAGACTCCTAGTCATGATATTGAGATATTACCTTTTCTGTAGCAAGCCGCTTGCCAAATGATCAGTTCCCGAACTGATGAAAGATAAACGATTTCTTTGTGCATTTGTTTAACAGGCAAAAGGAAACGAGATAGACCCATAGTTCCTTTTGGTGATCTGCATAGAATCACTTTCTGAGTTGATTTATGCATGTCAGTCCGTCTGTCCATGTATTCTTGTGAACAAAATGCAGGTCGCATTTATTATCCGATTTAGATGAAATTTTCCAAACAACATTTGTTTGGCCCAAGGACGAACCCTATTGAAATTGAAGATAATCGGTAAAAATTTAGATATAGCTCCCATATATATCTTCGTCCGATTTGCCTTTTATTGTGCACCAACCATGTAATATCAGCCCGAATAGTATGGAATTTTGCACATACAACCAAATTAGGCCTGAAAATAAGTATGCCAAATTTGATGGAAATCGGTTCAGATATAGCTATAGCTCCCATATATATTGTTCATCCGATTTGTTATTTTTGTCCTTCGCAGCCGTAATATGCACTCTGTAACAACAATATTTGGGGAAATATATAAAATACAGCTCAGAAATACCTTTGCTAAATTTTATCGAGATCGGTTCAGATTTGGATATAGCTCTCATATATATCTTTATCTTATTTCAAATTAATTTTGCACCAAATGGGCTTCGACATATTTAGTCCTTTGAATTTTAAATTATAATTATAATCATAGGGTGTATGATTGAATTCTCCCATAAAAACTTTTAATTTTTATGTGGAGCTAAACTAAATTAGCAAAGTGGTGTAGGGTATCATAAAATCGGCCCGCCCGACTTTAGGACATGCTTTACTGTTTTCCTTTATGATACCGCAACCGATAGATCCTTGTAGGATGTGGACCAAATACTTTACATAAAAAACATTTTTCATTTCTATGTTCATAGATTCGACGAATAACGTTACACCTGACACCTGAAAATTGTATGTTGTAATTAAAAGTCTATTCAAATCAGGTGGCTATATCCGCTTCCTGTCAGAATTATATAAAATTATATGCATTTTTTTATAATTGTGCTTATTGTTCAAAATGGGGTAAATAAGACGAAAGATTAATGAAATATTTTATTTATTTTTGACAAATTCTTATCTTTCAAAAAAAAAATAAATAAATAAATACTTGCACAAAATTGACAGAAGTCAGGCATACTTAGAAAAAAATTGTAATCAGCTGGTAACTCTAGCTTTTTCTACCTCTTGTTAACATGAACGAAACTAACATACGAGAAGATAAAGTGTGTTTTATAATGTTTTTTAATTATAATATAAATTTTTATATAAATTTTTATTTAAATGTTCAGATGTCCAGTTATGACCCTAAATACGCGGAAGCCCGTTCCCACAACAGTTTTTTAACGTCATTATTCCTTTCGTCTACAGTTAACTATCATCCACCCTCCTTGAGCCTCGTGTACCTCATTCAAATACGAGCCTTACATTAACTCCAAATTTCCCGAAATGGGTTGGATGTTAATTCGACAAACGGAAAAATGAGGAGTGCGTTTTTAACCTTTTTACGTTACAAAAATCAATCGAAGAAACACAGCCAAACAATAATCGGTTTTATTATTGTTTCACCAGAAATGAATGTGAATACGAATAATGCATTAAACTCATTAAGAAGTAACAAGTAAAAAAGCTGTAAGTTCGGCCGGGCCGAACTTTAAATACCCTCCACCATTTAGAACGAAATTTGCAGTTTTTAAAAAAATGATAACCGTTAAAAATTCCGAAAAATCTTAAAAAATACAGAATGTAGTCGTTATATTAAGGTCTATACGACGTGGACCTGCATAGACAACTTTTATCATAAGACATTACAATATTTTATTGCGAAACTTAAAATCAATCGGTGAATTATGTAGCTAAATTCGGGAAAATGCCGAATATCTATTGGGGATATTCTAAAACGTGGACTAGCGCAGAAAATTTTCTGTCATAGTCTGTAGTACCTATTACGAATTTCAAATACCAAATTTGAAACAATTCCGGTTAATAATGTTGCTTAAATCATTAAAATACCGAACATAGTGACGTTCCATCATATGGGGCTATACCAAAACGTGGCCCTCCATGACCTATTTTCAATACCAAAAGTCCTGCAGACATAATATACATTTGAGTAAAATTTTATCAACCTAATTCATTTCATTCGGAAGCTAGAGTGATTTCCACAGATGGACGGACATCGGTAAATCGACATAAAAATGTATATTACGAGCTGTTACAAATTGAATGACAAACTTACAATGGTGGAGGGTATAAAAAATTTTTGTTGGAACTGAATTTAAAATAGTTATAAATTGTTTTATTTGTTATTCAAAATAGGGCAATGGCATATACAAAATTGCTCTCATTCAGAACTGCAAGAATTTGAAAATTGTTCTACAATAAACTCATTCATTCATTTGTGATATTGAACAAATTGCAAAGTAGTAGGTTTTGCAGTTTCTTAAGCAGAACAAAAGTTTCTAGCGTTCTAGAGACAACGACAATTTGCGATAAAGGTTCTTTTAAAACTATAAAAGGAGCAATAGCTTAACTTAATTAACAATAAAGTAGCGTTTTTCGACGAATCATGAAGGTAAAATCGGTTATCGTAGTAAAAACATTTACAGTTCTGGAACAGGCCTACTGCAATTCACGTGAATACAATTTTTCTTACGGTAGCCTGGTGTTTTTAAAGCACATACACATGTGCTATGTTCCAGTACATGCAAGAATCTACTAGTTTTGCAATTTTCTTCGATATAAAGTTATTGTAGTAAAAACTTTTAAATTTTAGCAGTTATGGAACAGACCAATGGTACTGTTCCAAGAATGTACAAAGTTTTACTACGATAATTAAAGGGAAAATCCCCTTTATAATATCGAACAATAATGCAAGATGAGTAGATACTTGCAGGTTCTGGAACAGAACAACAGATTTTATATGTGTATGTAATACTTTGAATAATCCCAACATACAAAAATGTCTTGTGAATAATGTTATAAAAGCTAAGAACATAAGCCTTATACTTGAAAATCTTAAGAAAATATTGAAAAATGTTTGTCTGATAAAAATAGAATTTGTAATTGAAGAATAAACTAACCAATGTAATAGAATTTGAAGCTTATTTCTCTATTTATATTAAACGTTTTTTGCAATATTTATTCATTTTATACCCATTTTCCCATTCATTGGTGGCTTTGTTTGTTTTTGTTATTTTATAAGAACATTTATCCAATAAAGCTTTCTAATTATGAGAAAAATTATTGGCCTGTTTACCTGAGCTGCAATGAGGTAACAGTGTTTACTCCGTTAATCGATTTCCTCTTAAGATATCGTAAAAATTACAGAACTAGTAGATTATGCTATGTTCTTATTACACTTTCAATCACGTTGTTCGCTCTCAGAATTAGCTACACGAATTAAGCCGTTCATATGGCACGAATTGTAATTCATAATATAATAATTCCTTTTTTCAAAAATTTTGTTAATTTTACAATTTTCATTCACGTTATCAACTTTTTGTGTAAATGTTAACATTTTGAATATATTTTTGTATTTTTTATTATTAAATTCTGCTACAGACACACTTGTCAAACATTTTTTCTGCCGATACAAACATTTTGAAAATATTGCCTTTTTTGTTTGCAGTTTTCTGTGGAAATTTTAACTCATGGACAAAATCCGTACCTCGAATGAGAGAGAAATCAAAATGTACTTTCGTTTGAATGTACATACGCCATTCATCATTGTAGTTTTCATCCATAATTTTCAGTTTTCCCAAAAATTTTCAAAATTTCATAAAATTTTTCTATTTTTAATTTTTAAATGTCATAATTTATTTGTTCGATAAATGCTCTCATTTGATAGGGATGGGACATATTTTTTCATTGTTCTGAGAGTGATTTGATTTGAACAATGTACAAATATGAGTGTTCGCTCAGGAAATTTTGTGTGAAGAATTAGGTACTTTGTGCATGGGGTCAAACAACGAATAGAGAGCGAATCAAGTGCTGTGGAAACGCCACCTTAAATTCTTGCAGGTATTGGAACAGATCATATTTGAACTGGAATGAATAATACATTCCATAAGTGGCTTTGAACAAATTCCAATTAGCTTTGTTGGGAAACTGTAACGGAAATATAAAATCGATTACTTATAAGAACTTATAAGAACACGATTTATCGATAAGTCAAATGTCGACTGAGGTATCCCTATAATCAGTTGATTGTCAAAATATTTTTTTCTTTGCGAAAATGTCATTGTGTATTTCGGAAAATAGTCCTGATGTAAGGAGATTTCTGTAAAAAAATTAAAATCTGAAACATAAGAAACAATATCAAGATAATAACTAAAACTAAGTTAAATTTGTTCCGGTTAAACCTTAACAAACAGTTATTGAATAATATTATTAACATAAAGAGATAACAGTGAAACAAGCAACAAGGATTTTAATAAACCAACACCCCATAACAAGTGAATTGTTGTAGGTTGACCCCCTTCATGTTTGTTTGATATGCTTAAAGGTGCCATGCAGTTCTATTTTCAGACAACAACAACAACCAGAAAAAAGGCAAAGTCAAAAAGTCACCAACCATCTGTATTATCATGGAGCCGCCGTGTTCATTTCATCCTTGCGATGAGGCTGTGATTGCAACCAATGACGATGCCAGCGATTGCAAACGTGGTGCTGTGCGTTTGGGGTATTGGAAAGACGATTATATTGGATTTTTTGTGCGCAACCAAGACCGCAAAGCGCCAGAGATAAATCGAGGCTATTTTGCCAGGGTCAAGGGCGTTGAGATGTGTATAGAGAAGTTCCTGAAGGTCAGCATTTTTACTATTTATAGCTTAACAACTTCCTCGGGCATTTGTTTGCATTGGGTGTTTCTTCCCTACCCCGAGGGAAGGGTTAAATTTTCATGGACGAACGAACACACATGCATTCATACAGAAATGTATTGTTTTAGGCCCCGCAGGATATTTTATGGGAGAATGGTAGTTGTATTTGATTGCAATTAATTTTATTGCTTGCCGACATTGTTGACATTGGTTGTCTAGCTTTTAAAATATCCTGTTTCTGGTCTTTAATAGTGTTCAATGTTATTTCGACATTTTTGGTTATTGAAATATCAAATTAATTTTCATTTAAAAAATCGTGCTCGGTGGAACCATGGTACAATGATATCAAGGTGGGGCTATGATACCATATGATTTCAATTTTTTTATTTTCTTGGCTTAATATGTCATCTTTATTTGTTTATGTATGTGTTTTCTTTTCAATAACAAAAACATTTTTCAGAAAACATTCAAATTCAGATGTCTTCAAAATGTTCATTTCATCGTATGCATCGACAAAATCTAGAGTTTTTGTAGCGAAATAATCCTTTAGAGATATATAGAACCTGGTTTTGAAAAGAAGTGTTGACCTTTCATTCAGTTTTCGCGGTTTTCATTTATTTATTCAAAATAAATGCAACAAGTTGTTTGATTTTTTTATTGTTTTGATACTAATTCTGACATTACAAGCCAAACAGGTAGACCTCTATACTTGCAATTTTTTCAAAGTTGGCCTACCTTGTACCATGGGTGGAACTAATTTTTATTATTACTGTATTTTATTTATTATCAATTATTTATATAAAAAATTCAATGATTCGTAATACAGTTCGATTGAACCGAACATTTAATACCTACAATTCGTCATGGATGTCAAAAGAATTAAATTACAACAACTTTGATTGAAAATAAAGGCGAAAACCATCATCCCAAGTCTCTGAAATTTAATTGAAAATGCAGCAACTTTAATTGAAAATGCAACCTTGAACGTAGATGATATCATTCGGTAAACTTATATTGGAGCATTTTACGAAGAAGACCGACATAGGCTATCTTTGAACTTAACCTGACAAAAAGCAATAGACAATGAGCAGCAAATTTAGATTTAAAATACAAGAGCATATATAAATCATCTTAAACTTTTCTACCACATTCTTTTTAAAATAATTACTTAGTGGATAAGGGTGTAAAAGCAAATAATTTGATTAGATTTTCGAAAAAGTTTTGTCCAAAGCATATATTAAAAAATATTCTCTTTAATAGACATGATAATTACGTTTTGCTACCATTTCTATTGTACTTTATATAGAAAAACATTTTTTCACTTTGGCAAGTTATTTTTCCGTACAATATATATTGAGAAATTAGTTGCCAAATGTTACCGATGTTTTCATTTGGGAAGCGTTTGCTTAAAAATGCGAACAATTGTTTAAAAAAATTGAAATCTCAGATAATGACCACTTTGTTATACCATGTTACAAATTAAGTTACATTTTCTGACCATTTTTTTTTTTTTTTTTTTCATTTTCACAGAAAACTAATGGAAATTGTCAAATCATCAACTTAGGATGTGGATTTGACACGCTCTATTTTCGTTTGCGCGACACACCACATCAAGTGAAAAATTTCATTGAGTTAGATTTTCCAACTGTTACTGCGCGAAAATGCTATACAATTAAGCGCAATAAAGTGCTATTGGCCAAAATACATGACGAGGATGGTGAAGTTAAATTAAGTCCAACAGATTTACATGGTCCAAACTACCATCTAATGGGCGTAGATCTTAGAAATATTGATGAGGTGGATCATAAATTACAGCAAGCCGAAGTAGATTATACATTACCAACAATATTTTTAGCTGAATGCGTGTTGGTCTATATAGAACCAAATAATTGTAGAAATTTACTTAAATGGATTGCCAGTAAGTTTTCTAGCGCCGTATTTGTCAATTATGAACAGGTAATGAGTGTGAATGTCTTTTGCTTTTATCAAATTTGATAAATTCAATTTGATTTCTATCATACAGGTCAATATGAATGATCGTTTCGGAGATGTAATGCTTAATAATCTACGCAGTCGTGGTTGTAGTTTAGCGGGAGTAGATGCGTGCATCTCTTTGGAAACACAAATGGGCAGATTCCTTGAATGTGGTTGGAGCGGAAGTCGGGCCTGGGATATGGTTCAAGTTTATCAAAGTATTCCACCTGCAGAACGTCAGCGTATTGAACGTATAGAAATGCTTGATGAGGGTGAATTGTTGGTGCAATTATTTCAGCACTATTGCCTAGTCGTGGCATGGATAGGCGAACTATTTCAAGACATTGAAATTACGTGCGTTAACGTGTAAAATTTCTTCCTTGTTGCCTTTCATTCAAAGTTGATTAGAAATTAACATATTCTCTCTCTTGTTTTCTTGTTACACATCTTTTTAGGGTTGAGAAACGAATGTCCTCTTTAAACATCGACTAAGCATAAAGTATGATGAAACGAAAGGCTGCACAATTTACAAAATTTTCTCACATACAGTGATGAAGGAGCAACAGCATTTTGGTCTATTTTGTATATGAAAAAAGCGAAAAAATAGAGAGAATATACAAAATATTTTGTACATTACTTTTGGTAATCATTTAAATGGATATATTGTATCTTATTAAGCCACAAACCCATTGGTTACTGTAATAATCATCAAAAGAAAGATTTTGTGAACAAACGCAAATTGAATTTAAAAAAAATACACATACATACAAAAATATTTACTCATTTCCTGCGATTTTGTTAAAAAGTTGTAAACAATTTTAATGGGTAAATGCCAGTTTTGGGCTCAAGCATATATCACATTATTCCTTTTATTTGTTGTTTTCTTTTTAATGTTTAACAATGCAAAAAAATATATTAAATTTAAACTGCTTCATTGTTCATCATATGTATTTTTCTTTTTCTAAAGTTTACTAAGTAATAAAATTAAGTCATCTCAAAGAAAGAAAAACTATTTAATATTTATTCAATATTTGCCAAACAACACGAATTTTGACACAGAACAAACACATATACGTATGGAAAATAACGTTTTTATTGCTTAATTTATTTATTCCTCATTGAAATCCCAAATATATGATATTTATGAAAATTTTAATAAACTTTGTAAAAGAATTTTACTTTATTTTTATACGCCTTCCATACTAAAGAAGTAAACGAAATGTTCAATGGAAATATTATTATATGGAACAGTTCTACCAATATCCACAAAAGAAAATTTACAAACTGTATGTGAATAACTTATGTGTCTATTTTCATTAATAAAACACAAAAAAAGGTCATATAATTACTCAAAAAACTATTGAAATTTCTTTTTATGAACTCGACTCCATATATTCAATGAAATTTAAATTAAGACATGTGAATTAAGACAGTAATAGGCAGTAGACGTGTAAAATGGCATGTAGTTCATATACGAATACTGTCGTATAATCAAACTTTGAATGAAACAAAATCCCAAATTCAAAGCGGCATCTCCAAATTTTTGACTTCTTAAAAAACTTATTTTACCGATAACCTCTTGACATATTTTATTAATATTTATAGGAGGTTTCCATACAGAAAAATAAATTATTCAATATATTTGCTCTCGGAACTGCAAGAGTGTACAGTTTTTTCTAGGATAACTGTTTTTATACCCTCCACCATACATAGTATGGAGGGTATATTAAGTTCGTCATTCCGTTTGTAACTCATCGAAATAATCATTTTAGACCCAACAAAGTATATATATTCTTGATCAGCGTAAAATTCTAAGACGATTTAGCCCTGACCGTCCCTCTGTTGTAATCACGCTACAGGCTAAACAAATTAAGATAGAAAGCTAAAATTTTGCCCAGATCTCTCTTTTATTTTTTGTTGTTTTTTTTTTTTTTTTTTTTTTTTGGTATCATAGTCAAAGAAGAATATGAAAACTAGATAGTAATGTATAACTTGATCATGAAATGGTTGATTTTTTTGTTTCAAAGTATCATGCAGCAAGTATGTATGTATAGAGATCTATAATTATCGAAAATAACATATTATTCCTTTATATAGACCTCTTAACTTGCAAATTTTCCAACTTCTAGTACCATGCTCTGTTCCAGAATCTGCAATTGCAGTTTTTTCCATATTACAAAGGAAATTCGATTATCGCAGTAAAAGGTTTTACATTCTTGCAGTTCTGGAACGGACAATAATCTTGATATGTGCTAAAATTGGTACAATTTGGTTTTGGGCGAATGGTTGGAGCTGGAACGAATTTTTAGTGCCAACCTTGTTTCCAAAATGCTCCACACACAATAATCCAACGGATTTTTATACGGAGATTTTGGTGGCCATTGTGCGTTGAAAATGAAGGAACCTCATTTTGTAACCATTCTTGGGAGGCGCGTGATGAATACGATGGTGCTGAGTCCTGTTGGAATGTCCAAGGTCTGCGCCCAAAATGTTTGCGTGCCTAAGGCTTTAATACACCCTCCAGAATATTTTCGCGATAATATTCGCATTTATTCTAATGCCACGTTCGATTGATACGAGTGGAGAGCGAGACCATCGGCTGTTATGGCGTCCCATACCATCATCATGGCCGGGGCTTGATTTCTGGTGGCCAACCGAAGATGCACATTTTCAGTTGACCTCTTTGCAAGTAAACACCATCATTTTGTGTGTTTATAAACTGCTGGATAAGGAATGTTTTCTCATCGTAGAAAACCAAATTCGGCAGTATACCACAAGCGAAGCATCTCTTTAGCTCTTTTGAGTCTATTTTCTTTCTGGTGCGGTTTAAGTTCTTGCACTTTTTGGAATTTCAGCGGCTATCAGTATTTGACGAATGGAATATTGCGATATGTTCAGTTCATGAGCATTTTTCGGCCACTGCGACGCGGGTTTCGATCAAGTCTCTTCTTTACTTTTGGGACATTTTCCACAGATGTTGCTGTTTTCTTTCGTCCATTTCCTTGACGTCGAGCTACTCTACCAGTATCACAGTAAGGAGCGATGGTACGAGACACAAAAAATTTATTCACATTTAAATGCTGGAGTGCTCTGACGATAGCCACTTGTGGTTTTCCAGCCAAATATAAAGAAATCATGCTATCACGCTGGAATTCCATCACGAATAACTTTTTTTCTGGAAAATTCTAACCAAAATGCTTTTGTACGCTTGTAAACAATATAATGAGCTGTCACTGAAATAATTTTAACAACTGTCGAACGAGTGGCTTGAAATGACAGCAGTCTGAAGTTGGTTGCAGTATTTTCATTTCACCCTGTAGATGTAGGATTAGAACTGAACTTATGACTTTTACTATGAGGCTATGTATTGCACGAAAGTACTAAATTCGGTGTAGAGCATAGGAATAGAACTAGAAATATAAATGTTGGTATTAAAACCACTGTGAGTGAGTAACTTCTTGATATGCAGACGGATTTGGAATTGAGTGCTACAGTCAAAATGCACACTATATAATGTACGAAAGATTATATGTTTAATGGTGTGCAAAATGGGCTTAGAAAAATTCATACTGAAGGGGTATTGTAAAGAGTTGAAGCAATAACAAGTAAAAAAGCAGTAAGTTCGGGCCCGGTCGAACTTTGAATACCCTCTACCATTTGGAACGAATTTGGAAATTTTCAAAAAAAAAAAAATAAAATCCGTTAAAAATTCTGTAAAAATCTTAAAAATACAGAATATAGCTGTTATTATGAAGACGTAGACCTGTATAGGAAACTTTTATCATAAGCCATTACAACATTCAAATACTAAACTTGAAAAAAAATCCGGTGAATTATGTAGCAAAAATCATCGAAATAACGGATATAGGGAGGTACCGTTATATCGGCGCTATACGAAGACATGGACCTTCATAGACAATTTTCCGTCACAGGCTTTACTACCTATTAAGAACTTGAAATGCGAAAATTCAAACAATTTCGGTGAATATTGCACAGCCAAACCTAGCTAAAATCTTCAAAATACCGAATATAGGGATATACCGTTATATGGGGGATAAACAATCATCAAAATACCGAATAACGGGGGGTACCGTTATATGGGGGCTATGCGATATCAGGGACCGATATAGCCCATCTTCGAACTTGACCTGCCTGCAGACAAAATACTGATCTGTGCAAAATTTTGATAAGTTTTATTTGTTTTGACTCTAGCTTGATTACAACAGACTGACAATGAATATTTTTGAAGTTTGGTATTTGGAGTTCCCAATAGGTACCACCCTCTTTAGTAAAAAATTGTATATACAGACTCACGTTTTCAGGGTTAACGAAAATAACAGAACATTCCCAATCTCAGTATTTTGATGATTTTACTGGCATTTTCAATTAGCTGTGGCATTTGAAGTTCGTATTGAATACTATCCCCTTTGTAGGAAATGATCTATATTATGACAGAATTATACAGGGTTGCCCATATTCGACGGACCCATGTTTTTTTGGGCCCATTCCAATCGACGAGGCTTGTCCGCAGGCAACATTCTTTGCGTCGATTGAATTTTGTACGGGAACAAATGCAAATCAATGCGAATAATCCGTTGTAAAGTGGACCGAGCCATGCCCAACTGCTGAGAACGGCGTTTTTGGGATGTTCTTGGGGACCTCTCAACACTGGCTCGTACGGCAGCGATATTCTCGGCCGATCGCCTTGGTCGACTTTTATATGGCCTCTTTGGATTAGAAAGAGCCTTACCAGTCGAAAATTTTTCGTACAAACGCTTAATGGTGTTCTTAGAAGGCGCACTTCTCACATTTTTTAATGTTTTAAAAGCACGTTGAGTTTTTACAATTGACTTCTTCTGTTTAATGTAGATTTCAACTATTTCAGAGCGCGTGTATTGGTTCATGGTAAAAATCTGCTTGGACTGACGCTTCAAACGCGGTATGTCATTAAGCGATGTGACATCTCTGTCAAAAGTTATGGCGTTGCCAGATGGGCAAACCTGTACATAAACCTCATATAACTAGACCTCCCAATATTTTAATGGTTTTTTAAATTTACTATACCATTACTAATTAACAGAAAAACATACACAGATAAAACGTGTAACTTTCCAAATGACGGAGGGTATTTAAAGTTCGGCCCGACCGAGTTTACATCTTATTTATTTGTTTTTTTGAAAAAGTTTGACGGAACAGAACAACATAGTTTAAAATTTAAAAAAAAAATGGACCGTCTGCGGGAAAGAAGACCGTTCCGTTTTATTCTAAATGGTTCCAAAAGGGGTGGTGCGAGGTGGTGTCTATCTCCGAATCTTATGGAAGTATCTTAAAGACATTGCAATGTGAAATGGTTTGGTCGAATTGTGTAACCTATTCACCCAATGTTGAATATATATATTTTTTAATCAACATTTCCACTTTGTTGGTACTATATTGTCATATTCATGTTCGGTTTAAGTTTAATATTGTTTGCATTTCCAAAAAATTATTTTCAAAATAATAGGGTCTTGATTCGTGTACAACAAAGAACAGCTTAATATAAGGTTCAGATATATATTTGACCTAAAGATTCATCGATTGAATATTACATGTAAAATTGTAATGAACCTATAAAGTATGCGAAGCTGATTATTCTGTCCACTAGCAGGGGCTTTGCACAAATCTCATTGCTAATAAGACATTATAATTTAATTAACAATTATTCAAATTACGAAAAAAATAACAACCAACTGTCCGAAGCATCGAATACAAACAATTCAAACGATAACAATTGAATTTTATGCAAAAATGATTCATATTTCTATTCTCCTCTGTGGACGACTCACATCACTGACAATTCTAGGCGGATGACTTTTGGAGACAATGAATCGCCAATGCGGAC